TAGAAATGAAGGCCGAGACCCCGTCAAAACATGCATATATATAAATATTAAATGTATTATATTAAATGGATTTTAGTTATAGGCCAGATTCACTACAGTATCCATAAACTCTTTGTCTGAAAAAAATCATAATTTTGATAATTTTCAATTGTACTGTCTACGCTTGCAGATTTATGCACAGAGACATTGAAGAAAATTGACTAAATTGACCACGTTTCAGAATAAAAAATACGATATCCCTATGAAAGGGATTTAAGTTGTTGAGACAAAGAATAAAATTGTTCAAGCTAGAAAAACGACGATATCTTCCCCATTGTTGTTCAGACTTAATAAACGTATTCACTTTTCTTTCAAACAGAAATGTGTGGCAGGATTTTTAGAAATTTTTTATTTTATTTTAACCATTTACTGAAATGTTTAGGGCACATTTTCAAAAACTAAAAACTTTTATTATTTCAGTTAAAGTATTTTAGGGTAGGTGGAGAAATCATTAAAAATACTGTTAAGATTTCAAACTTTTATGGAATTAAAATTATAAAATATGAGTTACAAACTACAGTCAAACTAGAGGTCAAACCAGAATGCATTTTGTCCAGAAACCAGAATACTTATAGGCCAGAAACCAGAATACATTTATGTCGGAAACCAGAATACATTTAAGCTGGAAACCAGAATACATTTAGTCCAGAAACCAGAATACATTTATGTCGACTTCGGGAGAAATGTAAAAACTGCAGTACACACACACATAGATAATTAAATAAAAAGATCAACCTGGATCAACCATCATTCTATAGAAATCAAAGTGAATAGAATATATATTCTATTCTCTTTGGTAGAAATGAAGGCCGAGACCCCGTCAAAACATGCATATATATAAATATTAAATGTATTATATTAAATGGATTTTAGTTATAGGCCAGATTCACTACAGTATCCATAAACTCTTTGTCTGAAAAAAATCATAATTTTGATAATTTTCAATTGTACTGTCTACGCTTGCAGATTTATGCACAGAGACGTTGAAGAAAATTCACTGAATTGAACGCGTTTCAGAATAAAAATCTATGAAAGGGATTTAAGTTGTTGAGACAAAGAACAAAATTGGTGAAGCTAGAAAAACGACGATATCTTCCCCATTGTTGTTCAGACTTAATAAACGTATTCACTTTTCTTATTTTAACTAACATGTTTCTATCTATCTACTGAAATGTTTAGGGCACATTTTCAGAAGAATGAGATTTTCCAATTACGAAAAAACTAAAAACTTTTATTATTTCAGTTAAAGTATTTTAGGGCAGGTGAAGAAACCATTAAAAATAGTGTTAAGATTTAAAACTTTTATGGAATTAAAATTATAAAATATGAGTTACTAACTACGGACAGATCTCCTGAAAGGAGGAAATCCAGAGGTCAAACCAGAATACATTTAGGCCGGAAACCAGAATGCATTTAGGCCGGAAACCAGAATCCATTTAGGCCGGAAACCTGAATACATTTTGGGCGGAAACCAGAATGCATTTAGGCCGGAAATCAGAATACATTTAGGCCGGAAACCTGAATGCATTTAAGCCGGAAACCCAGTAAACATTTAGGCTGTAAATATAAATGCATTTAGGCCAGATACCAGAATGCATTTATTTCGGGAACCAGAATGTATATAGGCCAAAAAACCAGAAAGCATTTATGTCGAAAACCAGAATGCACTTAGGCCGGATACCAGATTGCATTTAGGCCGGAAACCAGAATGCATTTAGGCAGAAAACCAGAATGCATTTAGGCCGGAAACCAGAATGCATTTAGGCCGTAAATAGAAATGCATTTAGGCCAAAAACTATAATGCATTTAGGCCGGAAACCAGAATGAATTTATTCCGGAAACCAGTATGCATCTAGGCTGGAAACCAGAATGCATTTATGTCGGAAACCAGAATGCGTTTAGGCCGGATACCAGATTGCATTTAGGCCAGAAACCAGAATGCATTTAGGCCATAAACCAAAATGCATTTTGAACGGAAACCAGAATGCATTTAGGCCAGAAACCAGAATGCATTTAGGCCATAAACCAAAATGCATTTTGAACGGAAAACAAAATGCATTTAGGCCAGAAACCAGAATGCATTTTGGCCAGAAACCAAAATGCATTTACGCCGGAAACCAGAATGCATTTATGTCAGAAACCAGAATGCATTTAGGCTTAAAACCAGAAATCATTTAGGCAGGAAACTAGAATGCATTTATGTCGGAAACCAGAATGCATTTAGGCCAAAAACCAAAATACATTTAGGCCGGAAACCAGAATGCATTTAGGCTTAAAACCAGAATTCATTTAAGCAGGAAACCAGAATGCATTTAGGCTTAAAACCAGAATTCATTTAGGCAGGAAACAGAATACATTTAGGCTTAAAACCAGAATTCATTTAGGCCGTAAACCAGAGTACATTTAGACTTAAAACCAGAATTCATTTAGGCCAGAAACCAGAATTCATTTAGGCAGGAAACCAGAATCGAAAACTTAAAACAACAAGTTAAATTGTATAAATCATTCTAAATTTGAAATCAATTAAAATCTGTTTTTGTTACAATTCATACATATTTAATTTCCATATTTAGATTGAAATATTAATATTAATATTTAGATCTAAATCTTTATATAAATATTTGGATCTAAATTTATTTAAATATTTAGATCGGAATGCATCAAAATCAAATCCTTCTAAACCTGAGGTTCCACTGGAACAGGTAAAACATAATCATCAGTTTTCAAGATTCGATTTATTTGCCATTGAACCTAAAATGTCCAAACATATTTAATGATGGTTAAATTAATTCAGATTACTTTTCTTATGAATTTGGATAAATTTTAATAAATAAAACAATAAGAATCTAAGATCGATATCACAGAAAAACATTTTTTATACAAACCATAAAATGCGTTAAGGGAAGTTTTTCTTTCCAGAAGGAGTGGGGAGACTCAGCACTCATTGGGACATGAAAACCCTTTTAAAAACATACATTTTTTTTTGATCCAGGGGACTATGGTGGCTCAGCCCCAACAATGTGTACGCATCTCTATGTATTAAAAAATTGTGTTCAGTAAAACGGGCGGAAGATTAAAGTATTGTGTTCAGGAAAACGGGCGGAAGATTAAAGAATTCTGTTCAGGAAAACGGGCGGAAGATTAAATAATTGTGTTCAGGAAAACGGGCGGAAGATTAAATAATTGTGTTAAGGAAAACGGGCGGAAGATTAAAGAATTGTGTTAAGGAAAACGGGCGGAAGATTAAATAATTGTGTTTAGGAAAACGGGCGGAAGATTAAATAATTGTGTTCAGGAAAACGGGCGGAAGATTAAATAATTGTGTTTAGTAAAACGGGCGGAAGATTAAATAATTGTGTTTAGGAAAACGGGCGGAAGATTAAATAATTGTGTTCAGGAAAACGGGCGGAAGAATGAGTTTCTGGAGGGTCGAGATAGATTCCTTCAAGAGAGATCAAAACATCTGAAACATAAACAACTCAGGAATTTTTATCAGTTATCAAACTAATTCATTATTTTTAGAAAATCCGGGAGTTTTAAACTTTTTAAATATTTTTCTTCGTTTTTTCAACTTTTTTTTAAATTTGGTGTTTTGGTGATATGTCAATTAAACAGATACAAAAACGTCATACTGAAACATTAGCGATCACTGAACTTTTTCAACCATCTTTATTGTTCAAAGGTTATCGTTGTATTCCTGCATTTTTGGGGAACTACCGAATGTAAATTGATTTCTATTTTGATTTTAAAACTATTTATCAAATTCTGATGAATGTCGGCAGGATTAAAAATATGGCGGATAGTGGATACTCTTCTGTTGTACAGAGTGGGTCGTCTTCACATCAAGGATCTAAGTCTCCAAGTAAGATATTTAAGGATTAAACTGACAAGTTAAACTACATATTCATGTTTTTTACTCTGTGAGCCTTTGCCATTTTTTAACTATTAAAGGGACTGCCTTGCAATTTTGTGACCCCCCCCCCCCATTTATAAAGGGGGCAATGCCCACTAACAGAATTACCTGTAAAACCTTAATCTGATCAATAGTCTAGTTTCAAGTCACTTTTGTAAAGAACCCCGAAATGAAAACGATCACTTTTCAAAATCAAAAACCTGTATTTCTAATTCATACTTGGTCAGTCAAACCTTTAAATGGAACCGTTGTGAATCGAACATGACACTCTATTAATGGAGGGTCACTCGAAATTACGTGTACAGTCTCTTTTAATGTAAAACTCATCCAAAATAATAGATGTGCGTAATTAGGTTTTACTGTACATGCTTTTTATAATGTATAATTATTTATTTGTTTTTAATGTTGAATATATATAATTTATTTTGCTCTCTGTTAATTTAATCTTGAAATAGATAGCAAACTTGAGTTAATTCTATACAAGCCCCGACGTGCTCAACTCTAGTGAGTTTACCGTATCCGGACATGTTCAACTCTAGTGAGTTTAGCGTGACCGGACATGTTCAACTCTAGTGAGTTTAGCGTGACCAGACATGTTCAACTCTAGTGAGTTTAGCGTGTCCGGACATGTTCAACTCTAGTGAGTTTAGCGTATCCGGATATGTTCAACTCTAATGAGTTTGGCGTGACCGGACATGTTCAACTCTAGTGACATGCTCAACAGTCAGAGAGCTAATCAGTTCTCAAAATAGCTTTCTTAAACCTTGTTTACAAACAAAAAGATTACAATGTCCAATAATTCTCCTGATTGAACATATTAACTTGAGAACAAAATTTTATTATGAACTTCCAATAAAATCTTTTTGAAGTCTACTTCTTTTACTGAACATTTTCTATCATTTGATTTCTGGTTGTATTTTAAGCACTGAAGTAAACTCCAAAATATTTAAAATGAACATTTTTTAAACAACCTGACTTGTAATAATAAACTTAAATAAACTGAGTGCATAAATTACAAACATTTTCAATACACCCCCCCCCATCCGGATACTTCCTTCGGTAATTATAGATTACAGATTATACACAGTTCTTGCTATCCGGACACTTCCTTCGCGCCCCGCGCCCCCCACCCCAAAAAAAAAATTTAGGGGGGGGGCGAAATATTTCTTTTTTGCCCCCTCATAACAAAATCTCTAGTTGCGCGCCTGATTGCGACACTTCAAAGTCGACCATGTATGAGACTGTTTATAACCAGGCTGAATCTAAGTGATATATCTATTCAAAATGAATAAGTATTATATTCAACTTATGATAGAAGCTTACCTAAAATTTCTAGGCACCTCTGGGTTATCCTAATTTTCAAATTTGTTCTGCATTTGCTGAATATGATCTGGTTAAAACTTTGATACCATATCACTTATACACGAGTTTTGGTATAAAGGAATTGAGTCTTTGCCACAAACTCTGCATTCCTAAATCCTATATATTCCAATGTCGTAGACCTTAGATATTTCAAACTATGAATTCTGTTAGATCAAATAATATAAGTTTGAAATATCAAAGATTTACGACATTGGATTCTAAAGATATAAGGATTATAAAATCAGAGTTTGTGGCAAAGACTCAATTCCTTTGACACAGTTTTATATCAATTTTTCGAGACATGGGAACATCAGATAGAACTAATATTGGTCGTGATTTTTAGGCTTTAGCCTATACTCCCTTTCATTTACCTTAGCAGTCCACTAACGGACGAAAAATCCCCAAAATGCAAGTACACTTTTTGTCATTTTTGTGTAAGCTGTTTTGCAATTGTGGATTTAGATTCTTGCTTTCAATGTCTACTTTTTTAATTTGTAACTAGTCATCAGAATCTTTGTTGAGTCTTTCGATAAAGAATTTATGTAGTTTTAGTTATTTACATATATTAATTGATATAATTTGCAGTTTGGAATGGAACCAAACATTAATCCTAGTTATTCAAGTTGTTCTGTTCAGGAGAAACCGAACACAGAGCTAGAGGATTCGATTATACATTTAGCACGCGAGGGAGAGAAAAATGATGATATTTTGCTAAAAACAGTTCCAACAAGAAAACAAGACAAACTTGTTAATAAAACCAGGTCTATCTAGATACATAGATACATATAATGGGTGTTACTAAACCCAACCTTATGAATACATAGATACATATATACTGGGTGTTACTAAACCCTACCTTATGGATAAAGAATACAAATACTAATCCCAGGTTTATACGAGGGGTTAATAAACAAGGTTTAGGTAAAAAAAATACAAATACAGGGGTTTAATAAACAAGGTTTAGGTAAAAAATACATATACAGGGGGTAAATAAACAATGTTTAGGTAAAAAATACAAATACAGGGGGGTTAATAAACAAGGTTTAGGTAAAAAATACATACAGAGTGGATTAATAAACAAGGTTTAGGTAAAAAATACAAATACAGGGGGGTTAATTAACAAGGTTTAGGTAAAAATACAAATACAGGGGGTTAATAAACAAGGTTTAGGTAAATAAAAAATACAAATACAGGGGGTTAATAAACAAGGTTTAGGTGAAAAATACATATAAAGGGGGTTAATAAACAAGGTTTAGGTAAAAAAAAAACATATACAGGGGGTTAATAAACAAGGTTTACGTAAAAAATACAAATACAGGGGGTTAATAAACAAGGTTTAGGTAAAAAAAAACATATACAGGGGGTTAATAAACAAGGTTTAGGTAAAAAATACATATAAAGGGGGTTAATAAACAAGGTTTAGGTAAAAAATACATATAAAGGGGGTTAATAAACAAGGTTAATACTTGATACAGGGGGTTAATAAACAAGATTTACGTAAAAAATACAAATACAGGGGGTTAATAAACAAGGTTTAGGTAAAAATACATATTCAGGGGGTTAATAAACAAGGTTTAGGTAAAAAATACATATACAGGGGGTTAATAAACAAGGTTTAGGTAAAAAATACAAATACAGAGGGTTAATCAAACCTGTTTTAGGTAGAATCGTTCATTATAAGTAAAAATTAGTTACAATTTGATTTTTATATGTTTTTTATTTTGACATTTTTTTGTATTTGTGATTTTTTGAAAAATACTTGTTTCGGAGGTAAAAATACATGTATCAGAGGTAAAAATACATGTATCGGAGGTAAAAATACATGTATCGGAGGTAAAAATACATGTATCGGAGGTAAAATTACATGTATCGCAGGTAAAAATACATGTAGCGGAGGTAAATATACATGTATCAGAGGTAAAAATACATGTATCGGAGGTAAAAATACATGTATCGTAGGTAAAAATATATGTATCGGAGGTAAAAATACATGTATCGGAGGTAAAAATACATGTATCGGAGGTTACTAAATAAAGAGAGTTTCTTTGACTAATTCTGGAAGTTTAGAGAGAACCCGAGCAGTAAAACAGATAGAGAGGATCTGGTTAGGGTGGAGCTGGAGGAAACAGGAGAAATTCTAGATGTGGAAAAGAAATTCCTTGATCAGGTTTCATTCATTTATTCATTCATTCATTTACACTGATTTATCAAATTTTCAAGTTTCCTTGACATTTTGATTATTGTTTTCAACCTAGTATCTGCAATATAATTACTGACATTGTATGGTTATTGTGTAAAATTTATAAACATTTGAAATATTATCTAAATCTAAAGGTTTTTTTTTCATAAAAAACTAATTTCTCGCCACACACAATAATTTTCGAATTCCTAAATCTTTGAAACCTGATATTTGAAACTTTGACTATTCAAAGTTTGAAATATCTTTTTTTTGAGTCTTACTAATTTCTATTTTATTTCATTTTTTTATTGTGTACAGTTTTTTTGTATTTTTGCTATTTTGATTTACAATTGTAATCCTGGGGGTTGAGTATCCAGCAGCTGATAATGGAGAGGGTTTAATTCATTCATCAGAGGGAAGCTCACTTTCATAAGAGCCATTCTCCTAAGGCTCACGCCGCGCAGTGGCTGACTTCTAGGGGGACCACGCATACAGGTTTCCATTTTAGGGGATCACATACACATAGGGATTCACCTCCGGGCATTACGCATTTAGGGGTTAAGTTTGAAATATAGAAGATCTTCGATATCAGGTTACAAAGATAGGATAGGAAAATAGAGAATTAGAGGCCGTATTTAAAGAATTTGAGCCGCGGTTTAAATTTGAGACGCGGGTCAAATATGGTTGGTTCCAAATATATTCAATGTTTCAAGATTTAAGCCGGTGCTCAATTGAACCCGGTTTTTAGATGGATTTAAGACGCGGCTCAAATTCATTAAATTCGGACACAGGAGATTTAACAGTTCCTTGGCTAAAAATGCCTTTAGGGAATATGTTCTAGGATTTATAAATTTGGAGAAACTTTAAAATACGAAAATATTTATTTACATAGATAACAGGAAACTTGAAGAGGTTTGGTTTATCATCATAGGTCCGGACTATTGGTTTACAAGTCCGGACTATTGGTTTACATGTCCGGACTATTGGTTTACAAGTCCGGACTATTGGTTTACAAGTCCGGACTATTGGTTTACAAGTCCGGACTATTGGTTTACAAGTCCGGACTATTGGTTTACAGGTCCGGACTATTGGTTTACAGGTCCGGACTATTGGTTTACAGGTCCGGACTATTGGTTTACAAGTCCGGACTATTGGTTTACAAGTCCGGACTATTGGTTTACAAGTCCGGACTATTTATTGGTCCACATCTGAATCGTCTGAATCTCCTTCTGCTCCTGCTTTATCGTCCTCATCTTGATCGTCCTCTTCTCGTATTATAGGATATCCATCCAGCTTTTTCAAGAGCAGGAGTCGTTTAGAAACCTGGAATATACAGAGATAACATTGTTCCCATGTTCTATTAATTAAATCGTCTACAAGAACTCTGCAACCTTATGGTTTAAACCTTTGATATTTCAAACATTGACTCTAACTTGATCGAACAGAATTTTGTTGTTAAATATTAAAGAATTACAATGCGGCCTGAAAGATGTTTAAGAAATTAGAAAATTTGAATTTGAGACTAGGAATCAGGTTCTTCTTAATCTCTTGAGACTAGGAATCAGGTTCTTCTTAATCTCTTGAAACTAGGAATCAGGTTCTTTTTAATCTCTTCGCCATTTTCCAAAGATACAACGACAGTAAACCACATTTTGAAAATCTTTCTTTCATGCAAATATCATCATTTTTAAAAATCAAAGCAAATTTTAAGGTCATCCCTTACTCCTTTATGTTTATTGGGATAATTTTTTCTATTCTAATCTATTTGGCCTTACAATCCACGAATCTATGTAAGAAAGTCCCGGGAAAAAATGTTTCTGGAAAAAAAACCTGAAAATAAAAACTTTAGAAAAAAGTCCGAATTTTATCAAGTCACTGGAAAAAATGTCACTGGAAATAAAGTCCTGTGTTTTGGATTCCTGGGACTTCTTTTCCTAATATAGTATGGGGGCTGCCAATAAAGTCTCAGGAAAAAAAGTCCTGAAGAAAATAAATCCGAAGAAAAGAAAAACCTAGAATTGTGAATCATGCATTTTCACTTGTTAGAGGACTTTTTTTCCGAGGACTTTTTTGTATAAAATCATACTGGAGCCAGAAAAAAAGTCCAAGAAAATAAAGTCTCGAATTGGCACCCACCCTAAACTAAGCTTTCTGTGAGTACTATAATGATATTCAGTACACTGACCGAAGAAATAGTAGATTTTAGTGAAGAGTGTACCTGCTGTGTGTAGTTTCCATTGATAGTTGCCTCCTCTTCCAAAGGGTTCCCAATAAAAACTATTTCAATATATTATAGTTTATATCACAAAATTTAAAGACTGAACTGAAGGAAATTGAGGATGTGTGTAAATCTAAAAATCGAACCATACACTAAGAGGCATGGTATATAGCGAATTTTTGGGACGCGCTTAAGATTTCACCATGTAAAAGAAAAGCTGCAAAACTAGTTTTGGCAAGTTAATGTACAAACAATTATCGCCAATAATAAAGATAAGTTCGAATAATCTAGCATTAATGCAACTAAAGAGGTTTGTAAATAATATTGTTCCTAAATCCTCTAAAGCTGGAAGATCAGTTAAATGTTCAAACTCTCTCCATTCCCGAACCTAAATCAAACTTGTAAAATGAGACTTCTACACAAAAACTTTAAAATGTCCAAACTGACGCATCTACCAAGTTTCATAACAAATGTATTATGGACGCATGGCCGCGGAAGTTTAAATGTGCGTCAGGACGAAACCGGATTTAAAACAACCAAGTTGTATTTTTAAGGAATTTGCAAATATAAAAGAAAAATATATCTAATGAAAGTACTGAATACAAAAACATTTAAGAATTTAAATTGTTATAATATTTTCTAGTCTCCAGGCAGAATATCTAAAATCGCAATTTATTGACAGAAATATCTTTTTGCAAAAACAGTTCAATATAATAAAGATTTATTTGATTTTTGAAGAGAACAAAAAAATTTCAGCAAATTCGGTCCAGCCGTTTTTCCAGCTATATAGAGCTAACATATATGCATATATACTATACATACATACAAAAAAGAGCTTTATTTTATACATAAATTATACGTATTATAATTTTCTTTTCACGAAGAGACCGTCCTTGTAATTTAAATTGATACTTCATTCAAGGTAGGCCCAATTCACATTGGTACCCTTTCAACATACTTCATTCAAGGCAGGCCCAATTCACATTGGTACCCTTTAAACCTACTTCATTCAAGGCAGGCCCAATTCACAATGGTACCCTTTAACCTACTTCATTCAAGGTAGGCCCAATTCACAATAGTATCACTATAAAGCTTTGTCTAAAAAACCAAGCTGAAAATTGCAGGGAATAAAAAGGAAACCGAAATAGACTAACCACAATTAAAAATAATCAATTTTTGAAGTTGTAAACATGAATATCACATGGAGTCTAGACAAAGCTTTTAATGGTACCGTTGTGAATCTGAAATATCACTTTGTTAATGGAAAGTCGCTCAAATTTGCGTGTACAGTCCCTTTTAGAGAGGATAAAATAATACCATATTATGCGCCATATATAAGGTGTGTAGTCGAGTAAGGTTTCGTAAAGGTTTGAGTTTATCAATCTGGTTGTAGGAGATCCATAGTTGCTCCAGGGACTCAGCAGCTCCCTCTATACCCTAAACAATATGGTTGTATAGGAGATCCATAGTTGCTCCAGGGACTCAGCAGCTCCCTCTATACCCTAAACAATCTAGTTTTATAGGAGATACATAGTTGCTCCAGGGACTCAGCAGCTCCCTATACCCTTAAGAAGTAGGAGAAGCAATCTTCGAACCATAAAGCAACTCACTCACCTATCCAATCTTTGCAAACTGGTGGTTTGCTCATCTACCATTTGTGTGCGTGGATATTGAGATCTTTTGTTAATCTGCAGATTAATTTAATCTTTATTTGATACCGCAGTGTAATTTTACTCTGAAGGTATAACTGAAATGAATTAAAAGCATTGATTCTCAAATTGAAAAGGCCCACAGTGGATATTCAGATCAAGCAATCGGAATTATGAGAATCCAAAACAAACGTTCCAAGCTCAGCTCGATATTCATAGTTTTAAATGTTTCCAGTTTCAAAGATATAAGGATCATAAAATTAGAGATTGCATTGGGCCGAGTAATCAGTTTTTATCTGGTAATTGTCATTGAAGCAAGCAACTAAGCTAAGACTGAGTTTGTTTACATTTCTTTGAAAATTTTTGCAGTACACTTGGTCATATGCATGTTCATGGATATGAAGGGTGTCCCACGTATTTGATCTTTGAAATTATTAGCGTCATTTAGTCGTAAACCTTATTCTAAAAGTAAAATTCTAGAGTTAATAATGACAAAATACCCCTATTCTTGGCATTTCCAAAATGTGGTCTGTCTTTTTTGTGCTTTTAATATTACCGGAGATATTTTTATGAAATGGAAAACTGAACGAAATGCTTAATATTTCCGGTTATACATACAGCACAAAAAAAGGCAGACCACATTTTGGAAATGCCAGGACTAGAAGAAGTGGTTATTGTTTAAATAATCATACAAGTAGGTAGACAACTAAATGTCATAAATAAATTCAAAATTCTGTATCTTTCTATTCCGCTCTTACCTGAAGGGTCTTAATTATATTTCTACCCAAAGAGAGAACTTTCAGGTTCTTAAGAACCGAGAGGTTTTGTATTTGTGAGATTAGGTTGGTGGAGAGAGATAGCTTCTCACAGTTGACAAGGATATGGAGAGGTCCTTCCATCTTCTCTATGGGAGGATAAACTCCGATCAACTTGATCTCACGAGCCTCAGAAGATTTCTTCCCACTCGCCTCTTCCCATTTCTTGAGAGCAGCTTTTATAGTAGTCGGCATATTAAGGATATACTAGGGAGTTGTATTCTCTGGATTTTTCCAGCTGTAAACAAGATATTGATTAAACACGGGTTGGATACAAGGATACAAGTTATAACGTCAAAGAGAAAGTCACCATTGATATTCAAAACTTAATGCAGATATTTCTCTGATTTTTTTTTTTATCAATGACTAAAATACTTTAAATGCGGTTTGAGCTAGATGTCAGTTCCAGAGATCATTCAAAATGTCGTCTTATCAAATTTTTTTCTTTTTTATTGCAGGCCTGGGACTCAGAAGATGAAAATGTGTCTGATCTTTCAAATCTGAAGGTACAATTTACTGATCTTTCAAACCTGAAGGTACAATTTACTGATCTTTCAAATCTGAAGGTACAATTTTCTGATCTTTCAAATCTAAAGGTACAATTTTCTGATCTTTCAAATCTGAAGGTACAATTTACTGATCTTTCAAATCTGAAGGTACAATTTACTGATCTTTCAAATCTAAAGGTACAATTTTCTGATCTTTCAAATCTGAAGGTACAATTTACTGATCTTTCAAATCTGAAGGTACAATTTACTGATCTTTCAAATCTGAAGGTACTATTTACTGTTTACTTTTTCATATGATTTGATTCCAAGATTTCTGGGGAAAACAATAACAACCACAGTGGGAGTATATTTTTAAAACCTCAGATTTTAAAAATGAATAAAAACGCTATATCACTTAACCATTGTTAAGAGAATAAAATGATGTAATTCTAGTGATAGAGAGTAGGGTTGGGATTTGTTTAAAAACGATCTGAAGTTAAACCATTGCAATGGTTACTTAAAATCTAGATAGTTTGCAGCACAAACAATCTTTAAACAAAAAGAAATTTTTGACACAAATATTAATCATTCAGCACTTTGACTCAACAAAATTTTAATAAACTTTTAAAATTTTAATTCTTAATTCATCATCGATAAATACAGTTTAAGTTAAGTATGGTCTTATGTCTATTTCATATTGTTCCAAAGCAAGTAACTGAAAATCAACGTATTGAGTAAAATAGGTCTGTGTTTACGTATGCAATTGCTTGTGTTTCATATTTTTGTACTTTTAATACAGTGATAACCAGAAAACTCTGGAATAAGAAGACGACTTTATAGCGATACTTAATTGTGTATTTGATGTTGTTACCTAGCAAATAGTTTTACTAGACACTTATCAAAATATGAATTTAGTAAAATGGGTCTGTTTACACTTCACATTTGCTGTGTTCCATGCTTATTGGACTTTTTAAAGTCATAACTGGAGTCTGAAAGTCGTCTTCCTATTCCATAGATCTTTTGGTCTGATTGTAGGTTGTATCCGAGAGTCAGGTTCTGGCGAGCCTATCCGCCAGGTTCTCTAAGGGTGAATATCAGACCAAACTTGGATCATCTCTAGGAATATATCCATTAATTCTACCCAGACATTTTTTCATTAAAATTATTTTTTTTAGATAATAAAATTATGACAATATGTAACTTAAAACCAATATATATTACTATCCAGAGGTTGAATTTGGGGTTTTACCTAAACAAATTTCCTTTTTTTGGTGCCATTAAATGTACTGGCAAAATTAAAGACATGTTGATATCAGCAGGGAACCATAAATGTTAAAGCAAAGACAAAATAATTTCTCTCAAGGTGTCTCTCAAGTCTTATTTTTTGTGCTTCTTTAACATGTGAAATAAAAATTATTCCCCATATAAATCATCAAACTTTCAAAATTGTTTCATTTTTAACGGATGCATACTTTATTTATAATATAAAAAGAATATTTAACGCTTTTCAAAAGGGGCTAAAAATAAAATGGTTAAAAACTTTTGGATATTTCATTTTTTCATTTAATAAAATTTTACAAACTGTGAATAACTGAAGTCAAAATCAAATCAAATTATGTTGACAATTTGAAAAATTGCTGCAAACTGATTCTGCGAAGTTAAAGTGGTAAATTGGAATTTATATTCTGTGACTATAATACATGTTTGATTAATGATTGTATTCTCTCCAGTCTCCATAAACCCCATGAGGCGAACTGACAGTGGGTGTGGTAGAACGGTGGGTCATTATTTCAAGGAATTAATCATAAACTATATTCAAATGCATGGATAAATATTTGAAGAAAAAAAATATATTTGTTGATTAATAAAATTCAATGATAAAAATAACTTTAAAATTGTACATTTTATTTTATTTGTTGAGATAAAGATTGAACGGTTGTTAAATGTAGATGAGAAAACCAGATTGTATTTCTGTAGGCACGAAGGAAACATTCTGGTGGTGGGACGGGTTCTTCTCCGCTAGAAGATCAGGTTGAACAGCTGTACAGGAGATCCATCCTATCCTGTAAAACTCAGTCCCTGGTAATGTTGGGTAGATCAGGTTCAGGGAAATCCTGTAACTTTAAACAGTCCCTCGGATACCTCCTGGAGACTACACAGAAACCTGAACAGTCAAGGTTTACAAGTTAGTGCTCTTTTGTTATTTAAGCTCTCTCAACCTTATATTTATTGTACAGTATAGTTCTCTTAACCTAGGACAGTTCTCTCAATCTTAACCTAGTATAGTTCTCCTAACCTTGTCTTATGTTCTCCAATAAAACTGCTCTACAAATTTCTCACAGTTCATGTCTTGAAACCCCTTCTATAACTTTAACTGAATTCATTATAATCTTATGTAAACAATTTTTAATCGTTTTTTCTTTAAGTTGAGAAGATGCATGCTGTAGATTGTCTCCTGGAGAGCTTTTGTTCGACCAGAACTAGTCTTAACACTCACGCCTCCAGGTTGGTTCTCATCACTGAGTTGGAGTTTAACCTGGACGGAGGGTTGGAAGGAGGAGGACTAGAGATTGCTCTACCAGATACAAGTAGATTACTTAGAACAGGGAGGAAACATATCCAAAGATTAATTTATTTACAGACTTTAGGAAGATTCAAATCGCATGGGAATCTTAGAACGTCTTTAATCTTGTCATTGGTCTTGAATGGTTGTTTATATAAATTATAAATTATCGGAAAATATAATTGTATTATATGATTGTGGTGAAAGTTAAGAATGAATTGACACTTTGTTCTCATGTTATTCAAACTCTCTTTATACATCACATAACTGTATTTTTACCAATGGATAAGATCTCTGGTATCAGGACGAATGGCAGGAGAACCTACATTTCCGATCCTTTATCAGATTCAAGCAGCTCTAGGCAAATCCAACCTTTTTCTCCCTCCCCGGACACTAAACAAGAACGCATTTTTTACTCCGCTCCAGGTCAGAGATTAGATTATATCAGATATATTTCACGGATAAAAGAAAATAATTAAATCTGCTTGTTAGGATGAAATGGAGATTTTAACGGCTCTTGAGGATTGGGGACGGGTTGGAGAAGCAATGGACCAGTTGAAGTTTAGTAGTGAAGAGCAGGATTCATTCTGGATTATTCTTGCAGCTATAACAAACCTGGGATATGTGGCAAAGTGTTTAGGTGAGTTTTTGACAAGTCACTAAAAATACTAACCTTAAACCTGTCATTTTCCAGAATCAGGAGAATCAGTAGATCCGTCCAGTTTAGAGAAAATCTCCAACCTACTTGGTGTTAAACCAGAAGATTTAAGATTAGTATTCTCCAGAGCAAATACGCCCCGAACAATCAGTCCTGCATCTTCTATGACCCTGAGCTCATCTTCTTCAAGAAATCCGTCCCCGTCTCCATCATCTTCGTCTTTAGGTAATACATTTAAATTTTATTTGAATCCTGAAACTGTACCCCATCTGTGAACAGGATTAAGAGCTGCTTGTTCTGTTCTACCCGACTGTAGTACCCTAGCTGTGGATAATGTAAGACGCCTGGCTGTAAACCTTTACTCCGACCTTCTCTCCCGCCTTGTCACGTATATAAATAGAAGTTTGAAGCCTAGCTCAAGACAACCCTGTAATATATTTCTCTTTGATTCTCCGGGCTTTCAGAACCCGTCAACATCAGGTGATTTCTTAAAAAAATTAAATAGTTTAAAACATTTTGCTCACATGAAACTAAAACATTTATTGATTGAAAGAAATGCTATTAAAAACAATCTGAGGTTGGATTCAATGATTTGGGAGAATTAGTTGAACTCTGTGATGCTAGTTTAACTGCTTCTCTAGTGCACTCACGTCTATTCTAGTATTTACATAACCCTTACCGAGTTTAACTAACTCCAGTAAATGTTAAGGAGATAAACCAAGTGCTGGGTTTGTTGATCTCTGTTATAACTACCTCCAGGAGAAGGTTCAGAATATGTTTAACACGGAGAAGATTGAAACTATTACAAAGACAAAGGGAGCAGGAAAGGTAAGGATTAAAACTGTGGAAAACTTGAAATATCAGGATTTTTGTTCCAGATGCTCTTCAGTAACAGAGGCAATCCTGAGCAAATATTAAACCTGCTAGAGAGACAAGAACAGGAAATTCGAAGGTAAGAAAATTGATGTTTAAAAAAGGAAGGAAATTGTGCAGTTTAGAATTGCTAAACTCATCTTTATTTAGTAAAAGTACCAGTACACTTGGGAGAAGAGGGAGCAAACGGGTTCGGTTTCAGAACTCAGCTCCGGGTTTGTTTACACTCTTACACAGAGCTGGAAACTGTCCCTGGTCTGACGATGAGGTTTTTCTCCACAGGCTCTCGGGACACTGGGGACATCTTTGTAAGTTAATACATTTCATAAAATCTCAATTTTCTGATTTTTTATTTAACAACTATAATGGTATATTTCTCAGGTAAAGGAAACCTGTTGGAGAGGGTTGGGGAAGATCAATTTATTCTTCGACACTCCCTTGGTACTAATCCAGTCAAATATTCTGTTCGGGGTTGGAGACATGTATCATACTCCATGGGACGTACAAACCTAGCTCTGGAGCTGCTGAGAAAATCAACTCGGTGGGTTTATCTTATTGTTCTTTTATTTAGAATTTTTTAAGATGTTTTGCTTTTCTCCAGTAAGGAATTGTGTGTGGATAATCCAGCTCTTCTCTATCCTGGAGCAGGGTTTGGTCAGACTCCTCTTAGCTTTTCTGAAGTTAGAGCAAGAATGTCTTGTCTCCAGGTAGATTTTATCACAAACATATTTATCCAAAATAAATATTTGTATCAACTCACAAGCTATTGATGAATAATCTTAGATCCAGGTTCAAGTTGATGCAATGATCCAACTCCTTGCTAAAACTGAAATCAGTTTTGTATTCTGTTTTCTTCCACACAACCTGGCTGGGTTATGTGAACTATTTAAAAGAAGTCCGGGCAGACACTCAAATCAAAAGCTTTTACGGGACCAGGTAGGCATCAAAGGGACTGTAAGCGTAGTTTCAAGTGACCATCCCCAAGAAACATCTCACTCCGCCAAACAAACTGTCGATTTATGTCAACAGTTCCGATTGCTTCCTACATCTACTTCGATGTCGAACCTCCTCTCAATGTCCGAAAAAAGTCATAAAATCAAAGTTCGACAATGTCCGATTTTTCGGAAAAGAAACCTTTCGCATTGTTTTTCGTGACGAAGAGTACATGCATGCAAAGCTGGCAATGCCCGATAAACAACAATACCCTTTAAAACCTTGTTTGATCAAGTATTAATTAGATATCAATGTTTTTAATCTTAAGAACTGATCATTGTCAAATATGGTTTCTTTTCAAAAGTTACAACTGCGCCTTTCTAAAACCACAATATCTTCCACGTTATTGATCAGATAAAATGTTGAAGGGTACCCTTGTGTATCGAGCATTGTCATCTTTGCATGGAGGCTAACTTGACATTACACGCTTACAATCCTTTTAATTCTTAATCGTCATCATAATTCTTTATAAAATTTGCTTTATAGATTCGAGGTTTCCAGATCCTTGATTATCTAAATGCTCTCCAGTCTCAAGGACACAGTCCTCCTGCCTTTACACTCCTACCGGAGCAGGTTGAGAGTTGTATCTACAGGGTTGAGGAGATGAACACTAGACCAGGGTTGGCTGGGGAACTCTGGCAGTGTATTCAGCTTGCTGTCTTCAATGCTGTAACTAACTTGGATTCTATTGAAAGAGCAATATCATCTATCACAAGAACTGTTAGTCTTCCATCCCATCCTCTTACACAGGTACTTTGCAGTCTACAGTCTAGCTAGAGTTACATCTTTCTCATCAAAAAGTTCTAGGTTTTCATTTTATTTTTAATTCTTGTTTACATTCCATTATAATAAGGTTTCCTATTCCAGTATATCATGGGCTTCAAGCTATATCCATCTGCACCTCAGTTTATAATGAAAAAGTACATTCCGTACGGTACGAGTTTATCCTGTACTCCTGGTTATATCTCAATTTATTCATTATTCTAGGTGGTATTCATATCCTGTACTCCTGGTTGTATCTCAATTCATTCCTCTCTAGGTGGTATTCTATCCTGTACTCCTGGTTGTATCTCAATTCATTCCTCTCTGGGTGTTATTCTATCCTGTACTCCTGGTTATATCTCACTTCATTACTCTCTAGGTGGTATTATATCATGCACTTCTTTTTGTAACTTAATTCATTCCTCTCTAGGTGGTATTATATTCTGTGCTCCTGGTTGTATCTCAATTCATTCCTCTCTAGGTGGTATTCTATTCTGTGCTCCTGGTTGTATCTCAATTCATTCCTCTCTAGGTGATATTATATCCTGTACTCCTGGTTGTATCTCAATTCATTCCTCTCTAGTTTTAATTCTAATCTGTACTCCTGGTTATAACCCAATTTGTTTGATCTCCCAAGAACTATCTATCCTTCTCTAGGTTGTGGATGAGACAGGACTACTCCTGCTTCAGAACGGAAAACTTAATCTAAATCTCCAGAGTCTACTAGATTATACTTAGTCAAAACTAGATAGAACAATGTTTACAAGAAATAGTGTTTTTTGTTTCGAACGGTGCTAAAATGCAATCAAAATATACTAGATGGAAAAAGATTGGTCAGATTTTGAGAGAAAATTCAATAAAAAAGTATATATTCTCATTACATCTAGAATACTAATTTTTGTTAACTGTTATAATAAATATATATATATTACGAAACTATTGTGTACTTTATCATTTTTCCTCGCTTCATCGTGAATTTCATAATGAACGTGCTATAAAGTAATCATCGTGCTATAAAGTTAAATTAGCTGTACATTATAGCACGTGTGCAATAAAGTTTTGATTGGTTCAAGGATTTCTCCAAAAAAATTTAGGATATTTACAGAATATTTTTTTTCAATTGAAATGAAAATAAAATTGGATAAACTTTATATTTTGACTTCTGTTTTGTTCCTAAGCTTATGGAATCTAGAAAAAGCCATAGAAATAAGACAAGTACACAAACGTTTCATAAAAATACCAATAACACTATTATTTTGGTACGACGTGCTATAAAGTTTTTGGACTTAAGTTTTCTCTATATCTCGAAGGTTCTCGCCTTTTTAGATTATATTTTGTCCTTCGCTAAAGCTTGGGACAAAACTAAATCTAAAAGGGTTCAACCTTCTCGATAAAGAGAAAATTTCTGTCCAAAAACTTTATAACACTGCGAACCAAAATAACAGTGTTAAAAATAGTTCTTTTAGAGTTGTACGCTAAAAATAGTTGAAATATATTCTAGTTGTAGTAAATGAATTTTTTTCTTTTTTTACTTTGAGATGAGAAAAGTTTCAAAAAGTGAACAACTTTCAGGGTGTCTCATATATGAATATGGTAGAAAAGTAAGGGGTGACTTAAATAGATTTGCTCTATTCAATGTCGCATCTAAGTTTCTATGTTTATTAATATGCCTTGAAACTGTGTTACTATTGTTGATTTAGTTTTGGTTCCGTAAAATCCTGGTTTAGTCTTGGTTCCCTAAAATCTTGGTTTATTCTTGGTTTCCTGAAATCATGGTTTATTCTTGGTTCCGTAAAATCCTGGTTTAGTCTTGGTTCCGTAAAATCCTGGTTTAGTCTTGGTTCCCTGAAATCCTTGTTTAGTCTTGGTTCCTTGAAATCCTGGTTTAGTCTTGGTTCCCTGAAATCCTGGTTTAGTCTTGGTTCCCTGAAATTCTGGTTTTGTTTTGGTTCCCTGAAATCATGGTTTAACCTTGGGTCCTTGAAATCCTGGTTTAGCCTTGGGTTCTTGAAATCCTGGTTTAGTCTTGGTTCCGAGAAATCCTGGTTTAGTCATAGTTCCCTGAAATCCTGGTTTAGTCTTGGCTCCCTGAAATCCTGGTTTAGTCTTGGTTCCGAGAAATCCTGGTTTAGTCATAGTTCCCTGAAATCCTGGTTTAGTCTTGGCTCCCTGAAATCCTGGTTTAGTCTTGGTTTCGTTAAATCCTGGTTTGGTCTTGGCTCCCTGAAATCCTGGTTTAGTCTTGATTCCGTGAAATCCTGGTTTAGTCTTGGTTTCCTGAAATCCTGGTTTAGTCTTAGTTCCGAGAAATCCTGGTTTAGTCTTGGTTCCCTGAAATCCTGGTTTAGTTTTGGTTCCCTGAAATTCTGGTTTAGTCTTGGTTCCGTGAAATCCTGGTTTATTCTTGGTTCCGAGATCTCCTGGTTGTGTATTTCCAGATCTAATGATTTACTGAGGACCAATGGTAATATGGCAGTTGAGAGGATCCACCCAAACTTTTTACTTCAGATTTTTCTCCAGCTAAGAGTGAATACTTAAACCCCTCTTGTCTCCATGTTCTTGAAATTAAAATCATGAATCATCATTTTTCTCCAAACTCGGTTTTTACCTGCAATTTTTTCAAGTCATACTAATCATCTGATCCCATTCCAGAGTTTACAGGCACAAAGATGCCGGTCCATAGATACTCAATATTTAATAGATTTTTGAATAATTTTATCAAAATCGGTCGTTAACAATTTGTAAATGGAGAATTCTTTGAGGACGGATTATGAATTAAATCTCTGTGCTGAAAAAAGATTAAGAGTTCAACAATAATTTGTTAATTAAAAAATAGATCCGTTTACTGTTGATTTTTGAACATTATAATAATTTGTTCACTGATATATGAGCACTGAGTTGGCAATGAATGGTTAAGAAGAACTATTTAAAATATTTTTGGATCAATTGTTTCAATGATGTTCAAATACTTTACAGGGACTGTACTACTTTTTCTATTTGGAAAGAGATAATCTCTGTCAATTTCCTTCCTTCTTTCTACTGCAGAAATCTGCAGTTCCCTTGTAAAGAGAATCCAAAATTGTAAATTTTCAAACGAATTGAGTCGTTGACACAAACTCTGATTTTCTAATCTATATCTTTGTAACCCAAATATCAAAGGTTTCGTCATCAGGTTGAAAAGATATTGGAATTAGACAATTTGAGTTTTTTGAAAAGAAAACAAAAAAGGCCCCGGCCGGTGTTAACCAGACACTGCAGCGAAAACGCTATTTTTCCAATAGATATATCTATCACATTTAAAGAAAAAAAATACAGTTATATATATCGCACAGAGTGTGCAATATAGCTAGCTAACTTTATTTTTCCGTTAAATTGGATTTAAAAATAATATTCCAACCATTTGAAGTTACGAATCCACCTACATCATGTACAGTAAAGTTGAATGATATATTATTTAGCAATTTGAATAATCTGATTCAACTGAACAAGGTTGACATTGAGGACAAAAGTTAAACATGCATATCTTGGATTTTCTTTCCACCCACCTGCATTTTATAATCTAGATCGTGGATTGGGTTCCAAGTTTACTCCTCTGCAAACCATTGATCCTAGATCTAAACCCAACTGAAAAAAATAAAAGCATTTGTTTCAAAATATCTTACTCTTTCTTTAAATTAATCCTCCATTCCTAAATCTTTCCTAACCTTAAACCTAGCTCCATCTAATCTTTAAACTCTATCCCTAAACCTAGCTTCATCCAATCTTTAAACTCTATCCCTAAACCTAGCTCCATCTAATCTTTATAACTCTATCCCTGAACCTAGCTCCATCTAAGCTCTACTCTTCTATCTCTAAACCTAGCTCCATCTAATCTCTACTCCTCTATCCCTAAACCTAGCTCTATCTATTCTTTAAACTCTATCCCTAAACCTAGCTCCATCTAAGTTCTACTCTTCTATTTCTAAACCTAGCTCCATATAAGCTCTACTTTTCTATCTCTAAACCTAGCTCCATCTAATCTTCATAACTCTATCCCTGAACCTAGTTCCATCTCATCTCTACTCCTCTATCTCTAAACCCAGCTCCATCTGATCTCTACACCTCTATCACTAAACCTAGCTCATATAATCTCACATATAACCTCTATCCGCAAACTTAGCTCCATCGAACTTCTAACTAAACTTCTCTAAACCTAGATTCTGAAATCTCATATCTCTATGCTCTAATTCTTTCTAATCTCTACTCTTTCATCCCTTAATACTGCTAAGCACAATCCATTCTTTTTAATGTGTAAATCTTAACTTTTATGGTAAATGGGGTTTTAACCTAAATTATGTACCTCAATGTACGATAAAATCTATTTTATGGATTCAGTATCTAGAAGATACCCATGTATAAAAATATCTCTATTCTTTATTTCAAGTCATATATCAATTTTAGAGATTCATTCCTAGAATTGATTTGTAAAGATTAAATCTCTTTGAACACGTTAAAATAATCCTTTAAGGAGACAAGGTCCAAGACAAACTGAATAATTGTTACTCCAGGCTATCAATCAAGCCTGCGTCTAAAAACTACCATCCTGTTTACTCTGAACCTCCTAACTACCTTTTTATTATCTCTAAACCTCCTAACTACCTTCTTGTCTCCTCTGAACCTCCTAACTACCTTCTTGTATCCTCTGAACCTCCTAATACCTTCTTGTCTTCTCTGAACCTCCTGATTACCTTCTTGTCTTCTATGAACTTCCTAACTACCTTCTTGTCTTCTCTGAACCTCCTTGTATTCCTTGGACCTCAGTGTTGCCTCCTTTTTTCTTCTATCGGAACCTCCTGAATAACTTCTTGTATCCTGAACCTCCTACCTTCTTTTATCCTGAACCTCCTAACCATCTTCTGAAAGTGTCCATCCCTCAAGTTTTCTATCAGAAAACCTATTTATGTGACAAACGAATAATGTTTATGGTGTGAAGACTGGCGCTATCCTTCATTATCTTAAATTTAACTTTTTTGACACGAAGTTCAAAGAGTTCAAGAAGTTTAATAGATTGGAAGAGTTTAAATAAATCCATGGGTTTAGTTTAAAATGATTAAAGAGTGTAATTATTCTGTGTACGCCGGGTTCAGTTTATCCGGTTTAAACATTTATCTGAACTCTTTATCCAACCTTATTTGGCTCGGGCGGTTACCAATACGCATTTACGCAAACAAATTTAGGTTGACAGAGATTACGCAAAAAAGGACATGTATCCGTAGGTTTAATCCTACTTTGAAGCTTGAGTGGGATTTGGTTTATGGTTGAACCCTAGGTTTAGATTGAACAGATATAAACCTCCTCCTTCTTCTCTGCATACAGGCGCGGTTTGAATGGTAATTTTAGTACAAGGTGAATCCAGAATGAAAAGTAAAGAGAACAAACTTAAATATGGACATCGTACCAAAACCAGAGATTATAATATCTGAAAATTATAATTATGGGTTTAAGCATTTTATGGAGATAGACAACATGAGAACTTACAAATATTTCCGCACAAATGTTTCCGGAACAAATCTTTCCATACAACAAAATTAAATGTTTCTTGGTGTCAAGCTTTTTTCATTTTTTTTTGATCTAAGAAAGACAAATAAAATGTAAGTTTTTTACCATAAAGAAGCCTTTATGTATACTAAATAGAAGCCTGTTTACGGAAAATAAGTCAGAAGGATTCCATATAAATTCTTGCAATAATGTTAAATACTGTTAAATACTGTTAAATACTGTTAAATACTGTTAACCTCCTTGTTGCTATGCTTGACATATATTATTTCTGACAGTAAGGTTTTCGGACAATCTGAATTTCTTAATTTTTTTTCCAAATCCGAAATCACTTGAACATTTGTTTAATTCCTATTTCCTTATATTAAAAATATTGAAAATGAATCGCCCACGCGATAAGATTTTATTCTCCGTCTAGACATGTTCAGACTAATTTATCTAGATCATTAGGCCCCCGAACCCTTGGTGGGCGATATTAAACCTTTTCATCATTCTCATCTCTGCTCCACTAGATACATTTAAACCAATTAATCCATCAATACAAGGTTAAGAGTTTAGAACCGTCTAGTGCATTATAGATGTATTCCATTTTTTTTCAAAACACGTCTGAAGTAGATTTTTTTGTTTTGCTGTAAATTAGCTTCTTTATGGAATAGCGTAAAAAGTGACATTTTCTGTATTCTGACATTTTATAAAGCGTAGTGACAAATTACAAGTAACATTCTTGTAACAAAGGAATTGAGTATTTGACACAAACTTTGATTTTCTAATCCTGAGATTTTTCCAACCAAATTTCGAAGACCTTTAATATTTCAAACTATGAATTCTGTTGGATCAAATAATCAAAGTTTGAAATATCAAAGGTTTACATCATCAGGTTGCTAAGATATATGGATTAAAAAATATGCCTTTGTGGCAAAGACTCAATTCCTTTCTAATCGCAGTTTATTCGCAGGATTTTTGTCGCTAGTTAGCATGCTATTTTGTTTTTAAGCAGCCATTAGTGAGTTATTCACAAGATTTAAAGAGTTTCTATAAAAAAATGGGAAAAACAGAATTATTTAAACCCAATTTAGAAATATAATAAAGAACCATATTTTGTCTAGGGGTTATATATAGGGGGAATACATATAAGGAGGGATTGAGAAAACAATAAAGAGAAGGGGGGGGGTGCAATATTGAATAAGGTTGTGTATCAAATCTCTCTCTATTGTCCTGGACAGAGCGTAACCGAAACAAAAGTTTTTAAATAAATTGGGCAGCTAGCAGTTAATCCAAGGCTAACAAAAACCTAAGCTTTATTCACCTCAGAGAGAATAAAGGAGTTTTTAGTATTGCAGTTCTACAAATAGTTTTCAATCTCATTCCATCCTTCCTTTACTCCGTCCCCTCAACCTCCTTAATATACTCCTTCCATTCCACCTCCTTAATATACTCCTTCCACTCCACCTCCTTAATATACTCCGTCCTCTCCACCTCCTTAATATACTCCTTCCCCTTAACAACCTTTAAATTCAAGTGCAATTTTTCAAATATGTAATGTCACTCAATAAATATTTTCTGCTGAATTCCGGCATGTGTCGATTCCAAGTTTACCCGTCTAACAGTATATGAATTATGTCTGCACTTTAATTTATATTGATGATATATCTGAACCTATCTCCAGGTGTGATAGTATACTCCCACTAATCCATGTTCTTTGGCACCAAACCTATAGTTCCTTAAACTTTTATACCTCCTACCTCCTACCTCCTACCTCCTACCTCCTACCTCCTACCTCCTACATCCTACCTCCTACCTCCTACCTCCTACCTCCTACCTCCTACCTCCTACCTCCTACTTCCTACCTCCTATTCTAATTATGTTCTAATTAAAGATATCCATGTTTGAATTGGTTAATGCTTTTTTACCAATGCAATAACTAATCATTGTGTAGACTGTAGGCAGAGTAAACTAACTATGTAGATAAAATCAGTTAAAGGGTCTATTCGCTCGATTAAAGAAAGGTTAGAAAGATCATAATTAGATCGATTAAAAGTATTAAATAGTATAATAAGATCGATAATACTGTTAAATACTGTTTTAGAAAGATCATAATTAGATCGATTAAAAGTATTAAATAGTATAATAAGATCGATAAAAGAGACTAGTATCAGGGTAAGATAAGTTAAAAGAACTGTTAGCTGAGCTAAGCAGGATAAGATCGGCTACAGATCCTCCCCTCCCCCCACCAACAAAAAAAAATGAAACATTCAACCAGTAGATCATATGATGGTTTGAGCCGTTAAATTTGACAATCAGCATTGTTGTTACTGTTCTGAATGGGTACAGCCCATTTAATGATAAACATATTTCAAACATGAGATATGATCAATACTGCATCAGCCCTCGTCAGCCTTTTGCATCTATTCCTTCAAGTTCTGAGACATTCTCAAATGTTTTTATTCAAGTAATATTTTACTTAGCTCTTTTTTAAGTTGTTTAAATTGCCTGAGCATTCTTGAATGAGGAGAGTTATTTTAAAGAAGGTTTAGGTTCCTCTGTATACTGGAGTAGAGTAAAGGTTCAGGTTCCTCTGTATACAGGAGTGAGCATATTTAGGTTTCTATGTATTCTGAAGTAGCGTATAGGTTCAGGTTCCTTTGCATACATGAGGAGAGTAGGTTCAGGTTCCTCTGTATACTGAAGTATACTGGTTCAGGTTCTGTATACTGTAGTAGAGTATAGGTTCAGATTCCTCTGTATACAGGAGTTGAGGTTCAGGTTCCTCTGTATACTGAAGTAGAGTATAGGTTCAGGTTCCTCTGTATACTGGAGTAGAGTATAGGTTCAGATTCCTCTGTATACAGGAGTTGAGTAGGTTCTGGTTCCTCTGTATACTGAAGTAGAGTAAGTTCTGGTTCCTCTGTATACACGAGTAGAGTAGGTTCTGGTTCCTCTGTTTACTGGAGTAAAATAGGTTCTGGTTCCTCTGTATACACGAGTAGAGTAGGTTCTGGTTCCTCTGTATACTGAAGTAGAGTAGGTTCAGGTAAAAAGGGTCCAATTTCCTATGTTTAATGGAGTAGAGTAAGTTAAAAGTTCTCTTGTCTATTAAACTCAGTTTGAATCTTAGCTTTTATTAGATAATCTGGATTATTAAGATACACCCACTTCAAGTTGTTCAGCCAAAATTTAATCAATTTATAAACTAATCATGTCAGAGAGAGAGAAGAAACTCAGCGTGCGTCCTGTAAAGGTTGAAAGAACTTGAATTCAAGATAAACTGATAATAATCCAAAGAAAACAAGAAGCAGTGTTCCATATTAAACCATAGACAAACATGGGCGTTTCTCTTCTTTTCTTAAATCTATTTATAAACTGTTATTTCAAGATGAACATCCCATTTTTCTATCTGTAATCTCATGAAGGACATGTAGAACAAGGTTTTTATGCTTACTCCAGGTCCAAAAATAGATTCAGATTACCCCCATCAGTAGTTTAGACCTGATCTGTATAAGTTTGCATAACTATTACCTATAGCTCCCGACCCACCGAACAATGCATATATAGATGAAGTTGTTTCCAAAACAGATTCTATGATAGCTTTATTTTGAAAAAATATAACAAATTGTTAAAATATCCCCCAGCACTTAAAGAGACTGAAGAGTTAATATAAAGTAATCCTCCATTTATAGAGTGGAATGTTCAGTTCACAAAGGTACCCTTGCTCGATAAAAAGTGTGTGAGATATAGTAGTTTTTCTATGTTAAAGTTGTTTATTTTCAATTTTGGAATTCACTGTAAAAATTATAAAAGCAGCCGAGACGATTTTTGAAAATTGTCCGAAATTACGTGTACTGCTCCTTTAAATATACATTTATATCTAGTAACTCTGTATTTCTATAGATTACACGCCCCAAGTTCAAGTTAGTTACATTTTATACATTTGTTTGCATAGTTTGGACCAAAATACAAAAATATCGATTTTTCCCAATTTAAAAAAAACTTCCCTACTGTGACGAAAAAAATTAATCCTGAAATTGCTATTCTCGGCACTGATATTAAACCCACGTTTCTTTCTACAACAGATATGCAAATGCTATTAGAATAAATAACAGGGGGGTTTCTCATTAGTGGAAAACTCTAAATTACCAGATTTGGTTAAAACAAATAAAAATTGAAAGTTTACATTTGTAAATATGTTTAGATAGCCTTTTTAGGCTCACATATAATCAATAGTTCGATGCGTGGGTTGAAATCCATAGAGTTTACAATATTAAATATATCTGTAGGAGACGAGAATACAGCGATATAAGCAGTTATTTTTATATTTATCACAATGTTAGTTCAGAGTGAATATTCATTATATATTCCTGGTGATCATAAACCAGGGTATCCTATTCCTGGGGTTTAAGTACCCTCTGGACTACCTATATGACTAAACCTAGGAAATACATTTACTCTGAGCATAAACCCAGGGAGTAAATATACTCTGAGCTTAAACCTAGGGAGTAAATATACTCTTAGATTAAACCCAGAGAGTAAATATACTCTAGACTAAACCAAGAGAGTAAATATTCTCTTAGACTAAACTCAGAAAGTAAATATACTCTTAGACTAAACCCAGAGAGTAAAATACTCCTGGACTAAACCCAGAGATTAAAATACTCCTGGACTAAACCCAGAGATTAAAATAATCCTGGACTAAACGGGAGTAAAAATACTCCTAGACTAAACCCAGGGAGTATAAATACTCCTAGACTAAAACCAGGGAGTAAAAATACTTTTAGACTAATCCCAGAGAGTAAAAATACTCCTGGACTTAACCCAGGGAGTAAAAATACTCCTGGACTAAACTCAGGGAGTAAAAATACTCCTGGACTAAACCCAGGCACTGTTTTATATCTCACACAGAGAAGGATGAATATTTTTTCGATTTAAATTAACTTTGTGCGTTTTATCATTTCAAGTTTGTTAGTTTAAAACCTTGAAATATCGATTAGTAGTTGCATAGACATGCTTGGTAATGAATTCTCTATGCAGAATGCTTGATTGATTGATTAATTGCTTTTCATATTTCCATATTTCATGTTCATTAAAATTCTAATTCATTGGTTGTGTATATTTAACTTGAAGTTTTCCTCCCTTCTCCATTATACTATTCATCATTGTTTGTTTGTTTGTTTGTTTGTTTGTTTGTTAATCCGTATAGTATTGGTTTCCACAAAAAATGTCTGCCAATTTGGTCCAGCCGTATGAGTAGAAATATATATATATATATATGAGCTTTATTATATAGATTAGCAAGCATGGGAATCAAGCTGTGCCAGAGGGTTTTCCTTAAAAAGTTGACCAGGCCACTAAACTTAGAAATTATAAACCTGGCTCAGAACAATCCCGTGGTTCTACCGAGTTCCCCAATCAAAATTTGAGGAAAATGTTCTAGGGGTTCAGGAGTTATGATCGGACAGACAAACGGACAAACAAAAAAGACAAACAGAGATTATTACTTTACAAAATTTTATATATTTTTATTAAACCCATTTTATTGTTTTAACGTCCATGCTTCTTCATATGTTTTCCCATTTTTTTCTTGCAAATGGGTTGTAGACTTAATTTTCGTTTGTAGATTCACAACGGTACCCTTTAAACCTCCGTCTGATCTTGTATGCAAGCTGTATAATATTCAACAAATATTACTTTTAATCAATCAATTTTCAGTGAGAAAAATAAGGTTTTCTCTGTCATCGATAATCAAACAAAGGATTAAAGGATTAAAGGATTAAAAGATTAAAGGATTAAAGGATTAAAGGATTAAAGGATTAAAGGATTAAAGGATTAAAGGATTAAAGGATTAAAGAATACCGGATTGAATCGAAAATACCATCCTATAGATGGAGGGTCAATTGAGATTACGTCTACAGTTCCTTTAATCCTTCCATTTCTGCTTTATTAGGCCGATAATTTCTATTTTTATTTATGCTTCTAATTGAACTTTTGTTTATCTATCGTGTCTTCTGAACATCAGTTCGTAAATATAAAAAAACGAGTCTTTTAGCTTTATTAAAGGAACTTTATGCGTAACTTCAAGTGACCCTCCATGCAAAGATTGCAATGCCCGATTTACAATGGTACTCTTAAAAGCTTCGTCTGATCAAATATTAATTAGATATCCATGTTTTTATTTCTTTAAACTGTTTAGTTTCATTTTCGGATTTCTTGCTTATAAAAAGCAATCGAGAAATTATCGAGAGAAAAGAAGCACACTTTTATAGAGAGAAAAACGACGGTATCTTCCACATTTTTCATCAGATAAAGGTTAAAATGACAGTGCTCTCTTTGCACAGAGCGTCACTTGAAATTACGCTAACAGTCCCTTTAAGAAAAAGCGATCGAAATTCCTGCTTATAGTTCATTCTGGGTCTCCGGAATAACTATGATCGGTAATTTTGCTCCAAATCCCAAAAAACGGGGATATAATGAGTATTTGGAAACATTCCCTTTAATTATTTTGTTTGTTTACCTTTAACCTTTAGTTAGAAGATTATAAATAATTCAATTAAATAAATTGCAAAATATTCTGCAAAATAAACCACCTTTAAACCCAGGGATCAGAGGTTTCAGTAACATACAGATAACCGTAGTGAGTCCAGGTTGGTTTACGTCATCCCTGGAGTGTAGTGTGGGAGAACCAACCTGAGCCAATTATACCACCCACGTCCTATATACTACAGGAGAACTTACCATTCTAGATACAAATTCTGCATAATTCTAATTTATAATTGATAAAATGTAGAGTAGTCTTTGAAACCTTGAAATCTTGTTTTTATTTTGATTTGAACTCGTTTACTAAAGATCTTTATCCATTTGGTTCCATGTCTACATTCATGGTTCCAGATTGCTTTTATCTTGGTTCCATATTCAGTATATGTCTGGTTCCCTAAATGTCTGCAGGTTTACGATATTAAAAATATATCCTCTCAAAACGGCTACCCTTTCCATATTGTACGCACTCTATATGGTTCCCGATCTGTACGGTTCCTTATTTATATTAAATCGTCTGTTTTCCAAGTTACCTGGTTCTTTGTCAAGTTGGTTCCTTATTTAGCTATTTTGCCTATTTAATATGTTTCCTATGTAAGTGGTTCTAATCCGTATCATTATATATCTGGTTCCTTATTTAGCTATTTTGTCTATTTAATATGTTTCCTATGTAAGTGGTTCTAATCCGTAAATAGATCTGGTTCCTTGTTTAGCTATTTTGCCTATTTAATATGTTTCCTATGTAAGTGGTTCTAATCCATATCAATATATATCTGGTTCCTTATTTAGCTATTTTGTCTATTTAATATGTTTCCTATGTAGGTGGTTCTAATCCGTATATATATCTGGTTCCTTATTTAGCTATTTGTCTAATTAAAATGTTTCTAGTATTCAAACCAAATTGTCTTCAATCTGATTTCTATGGTTTGTAGTTTCTCAATATCTAATCTGGAGATGTAAACTGTATTATGGTTTGTAGGTTCTCAATATCTAATCTGGAGATGTAAACTGTATTATGGTTTGTAGGTTCTTAATATCTAATATGGAGATGTAATCTGTATTATGGTTTGTAGTTTCTAAATATCTAATATGGAAATGTAAACTGTATTATGGTTTGTAGTTTCTCAATATCTAATCTGGAAATGTAAACTGTATTATGGTTTGTAGTTTCTCAATATCTAATCTGGAGATTTAAACTGTATTATTGTGTCAACCTGAGAAGAAGATCTATTGAACCTCAAATACATGAGTTGCGTGAGATGTTAAACCCAAAAATATGACCATAATTCATCCTTGTCACAAAAAAAATAAAGCCCGGGGGCTTGACAAGGAATCAAAGATATGAACCGGCTTGAAGCACATTGGTAATTTGGAAAAAGGAGGGATTGAAAATAAAAATGTTTAGTCGACTTTACTAGGGATGTTATATTTGGATCGAGTAGGTTCTTTTTTAACTTTCTTGATTTTTCTCGACTTCTATCTACTGTCTCACAGAAAAATAGAATTAATCAATGTTAATATTTATTAACAATGAACTCTACTGTACGAATAATTGTCCAGGATTAGTGTAAATTTAGGTTTGATATATTCCCCCCTTCTCCAAGAGTTAAGGTTTAGATTAGGTTCAGAGAGCTGTACACTGCACAGGTTTTTTTGTTGACTTTTTTAGGTTTAAAACCAGTCAATTTCAGTTCTGCTTTTACTTTTATTCGTCTTTCTTGGGTCCCAGATTTCTAGGTGGTTTTTTTACATGACCTTGGCGGTAAATGACTCCTTTCTGATATAGGTAGAGGACTGCATTGACTCCTTCTTGTTAGCTGACTCCTTAAACATCTTGGAGGAGAGTCCAAGGATTCCCATTTGATCCCATTCAGTAATTGTAGGAGCCCTAAAAATTAAATAATTTAGAAGATTTTACATTTTGTGCGTTATAAAAATTATGATTAAAGGGACTGTAAGCCTAATTTAAAGTTACCCTCCAAGCAAAGATGGCAATTTCTGATTCACAACAGTGAACTTAAAAGCTTTGTATGTTTAAGTATGAAAAAGATATAATTGTTTATAATTCCTCACAAACGTGACCTGTCCATTAGAACACAGGAATGGTCAGATTCGAGCTAGAAAAACCTTCCATACTTTCCACTTTTTTAATCAGAATCGGACATTGCCACATTGCCAAATTTGCATGAAGGGTCACTTGAAATTACGCTTATACAATCCCTTTAAAGGAAGAGCACAACTTCCAAAAGGTCTTTTTAAAAAGTTAGATAAATAAACAGCTTAGAGCTTACTTTAGAGCGCTGAGACCAATCTTTACTGGTGAACTACTCCGAGAGGTGTTTTCGTTCCGTGATCCCAGAGAACTTGTATAGTCTCGGGAGCTACTAGAGTTAGCTGAGTAATCTCTTGCACTTTTAGCGTATTCCTTCGAGCTGGTGGAGAAGTCCCGTACTCCTGATCCGGAGTAGTCTTTTGACGAACTTTTCCTGGAGTAGTCTGAAGCAGAGTTGGAGTAATCCCTGCCGGAGCCTCTCATCCCAGTAGATTCTCTTCTTTCCGAAACCTGGGAGGATTTTCTCTCTGACGAAACCTTCCTCTGTGAGCTCGAGCTGAAAATATGAACGAATAGATGAGCGAAAAACTAAATATGGAAATTTAATTTTAACATATTTGTATTTTGTTGCATTCAGATATGGGCATTATCATCGATGGGCTCTAGTCTCCTATAGGATAATTATGCTAATCCCATCTTTCTAAAAAAACATTAGAATTCGCAGCTGTAGGTGTTATAAACCTTCTGTAGAAGCATAAATCCAAATATAATTAATCTCTGCGGTTAATCTTACGAATATTGAGTATCTGGGCGTGGGTAGGTGGGAACGCCCACCTTGAATATAAGAGGATCAAGATTATATGCTAGACTGGTCCAACTAGAGATTAATTTGTATTTTTGCACGCTGACAGTTTGTAAATGGTCCCAAATATTTCAAACTATCTATTGTGTCAACCACCTCTAACTCGCGTGTTTGGATATAAACCTTATATAAAATGTACATTAATAGGTTGCCGTAAAACTAATATCTTCCTGCTTGCATGGCTGCCAATACATTCATAAATAAGGACCTAATTTGTCCCATATTACTACTTTTCTAAACACCCTTGTAATATCTTATATATATTCCTAGATATCGTCTAAATATGTTCCAAGATACCGTCCTATAGATACCCTCCCAATATGTTCATAAATACCGTCCTAATATCTTAATAGACAACGTCCTAATATGTTCAATGTTCATAGATGCTGTTCTAATTGTTTCATAGTCACCGTCCTAATATTTTCCTAGATACCGCCCTAAAATGTTTATAGATACCGTTCTAGCGTGTTCATAGATACCGTCCTAATGTGTTTAAAGATACCGTCCTAATGTGTTCATAGATACCGTCCTAATGTGTTCATAGATACCGTCCAAATGTGTTTATAGATATCGTCCTAATGTGTTCATAGATACCGTTCTAGCATGTTCATAGATACCGTCCTAATGTGTTCATAGATACCGTTCTAGCGTGTTCATAGATACCGTCCTAATGTGTTTATAGATACCGTCCTAATGTGTTCATAGATATCGTCCTAATGTGTTCACAGATACCGTTCTAGCGTGTTCATAGATACTGTCCTAATGTGTTCATAGATACCGTCCTAATGTGTTCATAGATACCGTTCTAGCGTGTTCATAGATACCGTCCTAATGTGTTCATAGATACCGTCCTAATGTGTTCATAGATACCGTCCTA